TTAATCAAATTAATATTCATTTACTAATTAAAATTTTAATTAAATAAATAATTAATTTTTAAATTAAATTATTAATTTTTATTGCAATTAAAAAGAAATTATTTTTTTTTCGGGTGGGGGCGGGGCGGGTGCGGGTGCACCCGTTCTCTACTGGGGGCGGGTCTGGGCGGTAAACTTTTACCCCCGATTGGGTTTGGGGGCGGGGGCGAGTGTGTTACATGGAGGCGGATGCGGGTATAGTAAAACCCGCCCCGACCCGCCCCGTTGCCATCCCTAGAAATGATGAATGAATATGGATGATGTGGGACTTGAACATGTTTGAATTCCTTGATAACCTTAAAATTTTAAATCTGAAATGGGTGATAAGTAATGTAGAATGGCAAATAAACTTAAATCAAAATGAAGATGGATTGATGATCTTGAAATCAAATTGAACGCCTTGAACTTCGTTTGCCAAGAAATCCATTTAAATGCATCTTTCAACCAAACTTTGACGACCTTGATTAAATTGGACTCACAACCTCACTTGTACCAACCTTCAAATTAACCTCGATTCCACTTCTCCATCCACAAGTAACTTGTATTACAAGCAATAAGCAAACGAAGGAAATGATGTCTTGGACATAATAAATCTCTTGAGGAAACATGAGATTTGAAGTATAAAGAAGCTTTTCATGAAACTCTAATCTTCCAATGATGATTTTAATACAGGACTAGGCTTTGGGGAATCTCCGAGAAAGATAAATATTGGAATATAATAATGAAACCTTAACCATGCGATATTTTATCAAAAATAAATACCTTTAACCTCTTGATTTGATATCCCCTTTGAGTGACAAAGTGTCTTGAGACACTAAGAAATCTCGAAGAAAATGACCTTGATACTTGATGAACCTTAATAAGGAGGTGCCCATGATGACGAGAATTCAAACTTTACCTCAAATTAAATGTAGTGAATCACCTTTGAATGAGGAAAACCCAAATCACAAGAAAACATTTAATCCTATGTCTTAGGAGCTCATGCAAATGAATGAATGAAAAGTTGTGTTATTGACCTAGTGGGATGCATATGAGTGTGAAGCAGAAATCAATTAGGGTTAGGTAAAGTGAGGGCAAATTTTGGGGTTCCACCAGCGAAACCTCCCGAGATAATGTTGAGTGTGTGGCAGGCTATCTGGGTCTCACACACTTCCTTATTGCTTTTTCCCTTCTTGGTAGAGAGGTTCTTTAAGTTTGGCTCTCTCCTAGAAAAATTTCTCTTTCCTACTGAACCTTCTATATCTTTTACGTACAATAGCAGATGGCCTCTTTGGATCAAAATCTCGATTTCATTTTTTAACTGATGCCAATCTTCAGTATGGTGGCCTCTTAAACGATGATAGACACACCATGCATTCCCATATTTTCCTAGCACAACGTTGACCCTCTTGGAGTGGGTTCTGGTATTATCTTGAGATGATATACTTCTCGTAAAACATCAACATGTTTTGCATTAAATGGGGTAAAGTTCTCAATGAAGTTGTCATACAGCCTCCGGGAAGGTTTTATCGCGAACCTTTCCCTCAGACCCTGCTTATGGTGCTCTTTCCTAGGCCCAAATCCTTTATGCCTATATTGTGTTTTTTCTTTAGCATCTCATAACCTTTTTAGCACATTGTTTTCAACCCCTTGATATAACATTATGTTAATTTCATTACTTCCTCCATGCTAGTGGCAAACTTTTATGCCAATAATTCGTTGAAATGATCAACTTTTAGACAGTTCTAAAACACTCCCACGAACATTTCTTAATTTGGATGAGAGACTTTTATAGTTTATGCATTAAATCGCCCCATATATTCTCTGAGGGATTCAGAGGTCCCCTATCGAACATTGAATAAGCTGGAAGTGGTCACTTTTATATGTTTGCTGGCGGAGAAATGTTGCACCATCTTCCTGGTTAAATCTTGGCAACCGGTGATTGACAATCTGGGCAGGCTCATGTATAAATGTAATGCCACGTCCTTGGATGTTCCCGCCATAAGCTTTCATTTCAAGGAGTCGAAAGCTCCGACTATTGCCATTTGATTACTAATTGAGATTATATGCTCCTAGGGACTGCTTTTGCCATTGAAGGATGGCAAAGACGACGGTTTGAAGTTTTATGGGACTTTATCGCCCCATATTTCCTTTACAAGAGGTTGAGAATTAAGAAGCTCCCCCTTTTCCTCGTCTTCCTTAGTGCTTTGCGACTGCTGAAGCGGGTGGACACTTTCTTGTAAGGATTCATTATGTTGGTGCAAATTCTCCACAATTGTAAGGAGTTATGTCATATCCGGTGGAATACAAGATTTAATTATGTTAGAAGATGATCCATACATCGTGTTGCTATGGTGAAATGTATTATTTTGTGAGCCTTGAGAAAGTTTTACCGAGGCCTCACGGTGAGCGCCAAATGTTCTTGATAAATACTATTTGGTTAATCTCCCTAAGGAAAGTCACGCGAGATCACAAACGTATGGTATTTAAGGGGTATTTGTTGTCTGTCCCCTCTTCCCGTGGTGGGAAGCATTTTTACACTGATCTTTAATCTCTCGAATCATTAAGAAGTGGCTCCTTATATTCCATGTTAAATGATAGCTATGATGTATGTCCCTTTAACTACTTTCATGTAACGTCTTCTTGATGATTTTATGTAACTCTCATGTGACCCTGAAGCTATCCCATAACCGTTACATCAACCCGTACCTGTCGTCTACCAACACGCCCAAAAGTCCAGGATCTGACTTGTTTCATCTGTGCATCTCAACACTTCATTATATATGACCTACTATTTCTTCATACTCGACCTCAATAACTCGTAACTCGACCTTGAGAATTATATAGTATACACACACACACGTGCTCACACACACACACACACATACACACACACGCGCGCGCGCACACACACACACATACACACACGCACACATATATATATATATATATATATATATATATATATATATATATATATATATATATATATATATATATATATATATATATATATATATATATATATATATATATATATATATATATATATATATATATATATATATATATATATATATATTGACTTGAGGAATGAGGACATTTAGTCTTAAACTCTTATTTGTTGGATGTTTTCTTGTAAATAAGTCGTTTTTACTGTTGTGAAGATGACTTTTATCTTCAAAACATACTAAAGTATATATATATATATATATATATATATATATATATATATATATATATATATATATATATATATATATATATATATATATATATATATATATATATATATATATATATATATATATATATATATATATATATATCAGGGCTATCCTTGAAAATTTGGAGGTCCTGACCCAATTTTAAAAATGGGTCTCAATAAAAGAAAAGGTAAATTATTATTTGTAAAATAATACATTTAATAGTAAACGTGTAGGTACGACATATTGAATCATTGATCTTTGAGTAAAAAACAAATTTCTTTATCACTATGCTAATTAGCATACATTGCAAATTAAATTCAACAATTAATATTTATATATTTATTTCGAGTTTAAAATTTATAAAAAATAATTTTGAGGTCTCTATTATATATCGCCAACATGAATTTAAAAATAAAAATCTAACGATTTTTTCTAAGTAAAATAAAAAAATTAAAAGTCAAATAAATAATTTTACATCATTAAAAAAAATATCTATCCCCTTAATTATTCTAATGACTAGTTTTATGAAAGACGAAAACAAAGTAAACTTTGTAGAAATTTTTATCAAAATCACATATTTTTCTATATTTTTTTTAAATAACCATGTTTTCAATTAATTCCTAAAGTATTCATATTTCAAACGAACAAATAGGTAATACAAAGCGTACCAGGTACCAATTCAATTGTTGACTGCATTGAAAAATAATAGAAGACATTAATTGAATTAGCAATTGCATCATACATAACCAATTGAAAATTGACGATTATATACAAGCACTAGGAACAATTATCAATCCAATTAACGACTATGTAAAAGTAGCCAAAACACATGTCAATTCAATCGGTAACTGCATTGAAAAAAATAAGAGGAGGTACCATTACATTGAAAAATATAAGAGGAGACGTTAATTAAATTGACGACTGTTTGGACTATTTGTACATAATCGTCAACTAAATTGACTAGACATGATATAGTCGTCAATTCAATTGGATTAACATGTATTGCATGTTGTTAATTTTATTTTGTTTAAAACATGAATAATTCGAGAATCAATGGAAAAAATGATTATTTAAAAAATTTTCTTAAAAAAATAATTATTTTGATAAAAATTCGCCTTTATAAATTAAGAGAGAATCTAAACCCAAAATACCTATTAATTTATTTATTATTAATTTTATAAGAATCTGCCCATATAAAAAAAGATATTGGACCTAGTCTATTTCTTTTTCTTACAAAAACTACTTTTTTAAAAACCGGTTCTAAAAAAACACTCCTACAAAATACTCGCCAAAACCCGGACACATCCACCATTCCATTGACGATTTCCAAACATGGAAATCATCGTGCCTCAACCTAAAGATCCAATTTAATACCCAAATTACCCTTACTCAAATGGAAACTCAATCTAATTTAATTATTTAATACTACTATAAATATAACCATTATTATTCAGTGTTTAGCGCATGCCAGCTAAGTAAATCACATAACTTTACATATATAAAAAACGACGGCGTTACATTACGTACATCTATTACAAAACAAGTACACAACACATCACACACAACACTCTCAAAACCAAAATTCACCTCAAAACTTTATAACTTATAATTTTCCCTTTTCTCTCTCAAATCTCAAACCCAATTTCAATTAACGCTATTGTGCTATTGTTCAAATGTAGAACAGAAAAACACTTTCGAAACTCTATTTTATGTGATTTCAGATTCGTTTATAAGTTAATATAACCGTCGTTGATTCGGTTAACCCGACCCGAAATGGAACCGAATCCAATGTCTTCCAGTTTCACTCCGCAGTTAATCGGCGTCTCTAGGTTGAGATCTTCCTCCATTAAGAAGTTGCCGGAACCCTTACGCCGCGCCGTCGCTGACTGCCTCTCTTCACCTATCGCCTCCGCTAACGAACCTTCCAGAATTCTTCGGGTATTCAGCTTTTTCTTCCTCTCCGCTTTTTTATTGTTCGATTTCGATTTGTTTTCAGTAGTGTTGGAAGAAACTGAAATTCATATCATATTTATTTTCTTCGTAATTTCATTATAATTATTGTCGTTATTATTATTATTATTATTATTATTTATCATAAATGCGATTGTGACCTAGTTGTTTGGTAGAAAAATGTATGATTATTATATTTTATTAGCTGAAATACGTTTATTGCTGAGAAAGAAATTTCGAATTTCAGTACTGAAATGGGGAAAGGGTAGTTTTGTCAATGTAATATAATATGGCTTGTTTTAATGAACTTCTGGGGAGAGGCGTTACTCAACATGCTACTTACTCATGTATGTATCCATCAAGCATTTACTGGTTTAGGTTTTATATTTAATAGGGTTTTTAAACATTCATTTTACAATGAATGTATTCAATAAATGTTTCACTACTCAAACTGGCTTAAAGTCGTATACTATATTGGTGAGGGTAGACTTTTAAGTTGTAGTAACTGCTGCGGTTGCGGTTTTTAATATTACGGAGAGTTGACGAATGTGGTTGATGTGCCTTCAATTGCGATTATGCATAATTAAATGTGGTGCGCTGACAAATTTGGCTAACGTGGCCTAAATCGTGGATGTGCATCATTAAATGTAGTGCGCTGACAAATGTGGCTGATGTGGCCTCAATCGAGGTTATGCATCATTAAATATGGTGAGTTGACAAATGTGGCTGATGTATCCTCACTCGCGGTTATGCATCATTAAATATGGTGAGTTGACAAATGTGGCTGATGTAGCCTCGCTCGCAGTTATGCATCATTAAATATGGTGAGTTGACAAATGTGGCTGATGTGGCCTCGATCGCGGTTATGCATCATTAAATGTGGTGCGCTGACAAATGTGGCTGACGTGGCCTAAATTGCGGTTATGGATCATTAAATGTGTTGCACCGACAAATTTGGCTGATGTGGCTTAAATTGCGGTTATGCATAATTAAATGTGGTGCGCCGACAAATTTGGCTGATGTGGCCTAAATTGCGGTTATGCATAATTAAATGTGGTGCGCTGACAAATTTGGCTGATGTGGCCTAAATTGCGATTATGCATAATTAAATGTGGGGTTGCAGATCTTTCTTTAAATCTTGCGCGTGGGTATACCATAGTGACTCCCTGTTGGAAGTTTAATTTACGTTATAAAAAGTTTTTTCCTTTGGTTTTGTTTATACTTTATAAGTTACCAGATGCCAATGTTAAATGGAATGATGACGATGATGCATACAGGTGCTAGGAGTTTTAGAAATTCTGTCTAAATAAATGAGCATTTCTTGTTTTTGTTTATAACTCATAGTGCAGATTATCTATATTAATACTTTTAGGGGAAGAGGTTTAATATTCAATCGCGGTTATGCATCATTAAATGTGGTGAGTTGACAAATGTGGCCTCAATCGCGGTTATGCATCATTAAATACGGTGCGCTGACAAATTTGGCTGATGTGGCCTAAATTCCGGTTATGCATAATTAAATGTGGCGTTGCAGATCTTTCTTTAAATCTTGCGCGTGGGTATACCATAGTAACTCCCCGTTGGAAGTTTAATTTACGTTATAAAAAGTTTTTTCCTTTGGTTTTGTTTATACTTTATAAGGTACCAGATGCCAATATTAAATGGAATGTTGACGAGGATACATACAGGTGGTAGGAGTTTTAGAAATTCTGTCTAAATAAATGAGCATTTCTTGTTTTGTTTATAACTCATAGTGCAGATTATCTATATTAATACTTTTAGGGGAAGGTTTAATATTCATGTTAATGGCGTAACTTATAGAGAAAATGTAGCTTTGGTTTTTTGTTGTGGCAAATATATACACACACACATGACACCCACCTCTGTGAGAAAGTAAGGAGACACAAGAAGCCAAACCACCTGAGGTAAGCCTAGGAAACAAGATTCCCTGCCTAATCAACCAAAGCCGCAAAGCCTCTTAAACCAAGCCCCTAGTCCTCTAACAGCTCAAGCAGAAGAAAGGATGAGTCAGCCACTCGAAAATAGTACATGAGTAGCAAGATGTCTTTTCTAGATACCACTTCTAAGAATAAAAAATAATTCTATCGACCAGTTCCTCTACAGTCAAAGTTTTACCAGAGAAAATAGTCTCATTATGAGATTTCCAAAGGTTCTTTTCTTTAATCCATTTGCATCCAGAGTCATGTTAATGGGTTTGATGCAAAATTAGATGCGCATTCTCGTGATTGGGAGGTTGATTGCAAATGTTAACACATATTCCAGTTATGGTGATTGGGATCTTGCTAATGAAGTTTTCAATGAAAGGGGACTATGGAACTTGATCATTTGCAACTCTCTGACTGGGGGTTTCAATTTAAAAGCATAGAATAAGAGTGTTACACATAGAAAGAATAGGAAAGAAGAAACCGTATCAGCATCCTTATCTGTTCATACAGACAGTGAATTGCTACATGGAGGATGTTGAAAGTGGTTTTCTTATGTTGCTGGAAAATTTTATAGCAAATTGTCAAACTGCTGGGTATTATAGCAGTCACAACATTAGATATATTGGATGCTTCAAGTAAGGTTTTTGTTTACATAGCTGGACGTATTATTGATTTTGCCCGAGCTTTGGTAAATTTGTAAGACGACAACTGCATGTTGACACCTAGATGCAGTGAATGAAAGTGAAGTTGTGATGTAAGTTTGATCGTTTGAAGCCGGCTCATCAACTTTCCAACAATGGGATCCTCGGGGCAAGGGCTTGATTTGCAATTATTACAATACAGAAAGTTCTTGAACCGTCCAATACATCAGTTGTTTTGCTGAGATTTCTTTTGCTTAAATTCTTTGCTCTCTTGCAAGTTGTTCATACCATGGTTACACCTCCAACAGTGAGTGATAAGATGTATTCAACATGTCAGTGTCTTCATCATATCCTTGAGGACAGAGCTGTTTCTCTAGCGGCCGGTAGTGATAGAATACTGGATTTGGGTCTTAGCTTCATGAGGGGCTGAATATGGAATTGCTGAGGTGGTGAATTAGTTAGAAGTGACAACACAGTTATAGGGAGATGGAGGGGAGAGTGAGGAGGCATTCAGAAATAATGTTCAGAGTTGGTTAGGAGAATTTTCTCTCTGGTTAGAAGCATTCAGAAATGTCGTTCAGAGTTGGTTAGGAAAGTTTTCTCTCTGGTTAGAAGAAGCATTATGCTCTGGTAGGAGTGTCACACACTGATTTTTTTTTTCTTTAATCATTTTAAGTTGGCTTTGCTCCATTTTTCATACTCAATACAGACAGATTTTCCGTTATGAATGCACTGGTTCCATCACATAGCTTGTAGGGGAGAAATATGTTTGTTGTCAGTAGTAAGTTAAGTATTTCTACATATGTGCTGAATGTGCAAGCACTAGCTTCTTTTTGGGGGTTCCTAACTAATCATGGCATGACTTGTGTATCTTATATAACAGCCAGATTTTAATGCCATGAGGACCTGTAATTCTTCATGATATACCATGATCAAAATTCAAATTGGTTGCAAATTATGATGCCATTATATTTGAATTTGATACTAAGTATCTGAAGTCCCAGCCTTACCAATTTTATTTTATGGCTTAAATATGTTATTGCAGGACTATCTGAAAGGTCCTATGACCACAGACATGGCTTACAGTGCAATTCTGGAACATACTATTGCGGAGAGGGAGCGCAGGTAATTGTATCATTCATTTCTTGACATAGTGTAGTTGCTGATACCATCCAGATTGCTTTAAAACTGTTGCTTTAATATCATTTTGCGGTATACTTCAGTCAATGCCATGCACTTAGTGAACTAATTATGTGGTATTAAACAAGCAGAATGCATCCATATAATTTATGTGTAGTATACTAATCAATTGCTGCAAACTTTTTTGTTTAGGATTAGAAGCTAGTGTATCTATTTGTGTATGTAGAATTGGATGCTGTCATATTTATGAAACATACGGCACAATTAGGGTTTTAAGACATTGATAGAAGGTATACATGATAACAAGATGTTTATGTTTAGTGTGTATTATTACCTCTATTCCTGAAAGCAGTACCAGCAACAGAAAAGCACAGAGAAGCCAAACTGAAAAATAGAAATAAAATATAGATAATCCAAGGCTTTCAATAAGTCTTGGTCCCTCCCTCCAATTTCCCTAAATTCAGCCTTAGTTTGTCTCCTTATTTCCCTCTCTCCAATTTCCCTCGATTCAGTATTAAGATGCCTCTTGCTGCCTGTACAGGCAGTTATACCCTTTTCTATGCTTTCAAGTGGTTACACAATATGCATGGCTCACACGAGACTCTAATTATGTCATCCTTTTATTTTTCTTCATGTAACGCACCTGTTATTTTTATTTTTTGTAACATTACTAGCCCCCCTTTAGCCATTTCCAGTTTGACATTGACCTCAAGATGAAAGTTAGGAAATTGATCTTGGATAGCTGTGAAAGGTTCCCGTGAATCCCCAGAGTTTTGGCGGCACTTTCATAAACTAAGGACTCCACCATAAACTAAGGACTCCAATGGTCTTCTCTAGGTTAGTCCTGGGATTTAAGACCTCAGGAGGCTGAACTTGAATCTGTAGTTCCCATTCTTGGAAGTGTGCTAATTAGGAGTAAATTTAGAGCAGAAGCAGAAACTTACTTTTTCAGCAAGAAGACACGAAAAGTTTCAGCCTGTATGCCACTTCTTTCACGACTTTTCCATATCCAGCCAAGGGCCGTATGTACCAGTCCTTTCATTCTGTATGCCACCTGTACTTTATTTCCACATCCAGCAAGGACCATATGTACCTGGCTTTTCATTCGCTCTTTTATTAGTGACCAAAGTCTAGAGGATTTGAACTTAGAGTATGAGTCTGTTATTTTTTTTATAGTGGAACGAAAAGTAGCTTTGGCACCTTTGACTAGGACAGGTGGATGCTTGCCAAATAAGGCTATATATGTAGATTGCAGAGTTTTGTTTGCTGAATTATTGTAATTAGTGTTGTACCATTAGTCAGCCCAGCTGAGTTGTTTTGGCCACTTAGTACTGTTAGATACCAATCAATTATATTTTTCTTTTCTTTATTGCTTTAGCTTGTTAGAATTATGTGAGCCGTTTTAAATTTCAACTGTTTCTAACATTGGCACTATTTTCACCAGTCCTGCAGTAGTTGCAAGGTGTGTGGCACTATTAAAGCGGTATCTTCTAAGGTATGTTACCGGTTATTTGCATACATGGATGCTCAATATTTTCATAATTTTTTTTTATCTTTGAGCATAACCCATCTCTTATCCATCCCTGTTTCATAGACTTGCGTGTTACTATAATATTGAAATCTAAATGTCCTTTTCTACATCACGTTCTCTCTGTTAGATAAACCCTCAGTTGGAAATAGTTGATTAGTTGATTAGTTAATCAGTTAAATAATGTGAAGGAAGGTTATCTTTGGTTTTGGAAATGAATTTACAGCAGGGGAGAGCTAGGTAACCTTAAACATAATATATTTTGTAGCAATAAATACTATTTTCTTTTGTATTCTGAACCAGCACCTAAAAATTTTATTTCTCAAGATGTTTAGGAACTATTGAAAATTATTTAGACAAATAAATAATTTTCCTTTTTTCAGGGATAAAATATAGAATGAAAAAATCTGCAAAAGTGGACCATAAAATATTTTTTAATAGAAATCCCCCCCAAAAAAGTCTAACTGGGAAAAAAGAAGACAGTCAGTCGGACCATGTTTTCAAAAACATTTTAATATCTTAATTTACTTGGCTGATGGGGTTACCTTGTAGGGACAAGCCTTCTTTATTCTCATGGATAAAGGGAATAGTTCGTGAATCCTTTTAGTATTGTGCTAATTTGTTTTCTTTTGAAGGTTCTTCTATCTACTATTTATTAATTTATTGCATTTGACTTAGATTCATTTCATGTCTGGAACATGCAGCTGGTATATTTCCTTGTGTATGACTGCATATTGTACATCTTGTTTTGTTGCTGTTTACCCATTATTAAGTTTTCAGAGCTTGTTCATTAATACAGATACAAACCGAGCGAGGAGACATTACTTCAGATAGATCGTTTTTGTTCAGCTGTAATTGCTGAATGTGTTATTAACCCAAATCAGCCATGGTCACAATCTATGAATCGACAATCTGGTGCTTCAACAACTCCATCTCCTTTACTTGTATCTAGTGTTGCTTCTGAGGCACATGTGAAGTCACTGAGTTATGTGCGCTCCCTAGTGGCCCGACACATTCCCAAACGGATTTTTCAACCAGCTTCTTCATCGGGAAAATCACTGCCAACATTATCATCTTTGCTGAGTAAATCTTTCAATTCTCAACGTAATCCTGCTATTGTTCCAGAAACGCCAAGTTCTTCAAGTGTTTCAAAAACATTACAGGAAGACTCCATCACGCGCTCTGTCTTAAAGTCATTTAAATGTGAAAAAGTTGATGAAAAGAATGAATTAGGGTTCATTGCCCATGATGTTCTTAAATGGCGCTGGCTTGAGCAACCACTATCATCATCAGTTGGGACTGAAAGGTAAATAATCTTTCAGCATGTTTTTCACAGCTTATTTTGAGAAAAGAATTGCTTTCTTAAGCTGACTTTGGAAGCTTTCAGAAATTAAAGAAAAGCTATTATGGTCCCAACACAAGCTCATCCAAATGTGCATTTAATACTTGTTTTTGGTTTAGGTGTCTTGAGTTTTCTTTCACAGTGCTTAAAAAGTTTACTCTATTATTTAACATGATTTATGCAGTGATCGTGGTCAATATATGACGTCACATAGTAGTTTCTTAGAAGTAGGGGCAGCAGCTTTACTCGTAGGAGACATCGAATCTAAGATGAAGGGGCAACCATGGAAATTTTTTGGAACTGATGATATGCCTTACCTGGATCAGCTATTGCAGTCTTCTCCTGTAACACCAATTACAAATTCTGTCTCTGCTCGTTGCCACCTGAGAGCAATAACAGCATCTAAGCGCAAAAAAGCAGGCTCTCGTCATATATGGCACGTTCTCGTATAACTCGCATAGCTATTACTTTCTTCCAAAATTTTCTTCTTACTAGTGTTTTTAATCTAAGTTCATACCATGATAAATCTGACTAAGTTTATTATTTTTCTCTGACATGTTATTTACAACTTAGATATTTTTCTTTCAATTTTTTCCTCTTAATAATATCTTTATTCAAAGTCATACCATGATAACCCTTACTAACGTCTTTAGTTTGTTTCAATATTGTGTCAGAATATAGAGAGATCGTGAAAAATTAAATACGCAAGAATTGAAAGGAGTCTGCCTAGCCATAGAATTTTAGGGTAGTCTGCAAAATGAAAATGTTACGATTTCTTGTCTCTTTTCCTGTGGTTTTCAATGCCAAAAATCATACATAAGAATTATATTTGTACGATGCCATTGGATTGACATGTGTGGGTTAAATGATACTTTTTCTGGAGAATCTTCTGTTTGCTGTATGGAAATTTTATGGTTGGTTAGTTGACTGCTGCAAGTTTTATTAATGATTTTATAAATTTAGCTTTTCTCTCTGCACCCTTTTCTGAACTCATTCTCATTCTAGTAATCTTGTTTTTCCTACTTCTTAAGTTCTTTATTCTTACTCTGAATAAAAAAAAAGTTCTGTTTGTGCAGTATTTTTTTAAATTCTGACTAATGATGAATAAGTTAACCACTTATTACTGGAATATTCTGTGACCTATTATGCTTTGTATGGGCAAAATCATTTGAGATGAACATTTGATATTCTTTTTACTCACAAGGCTGACTAAAAAGTCTGCATATTTCTTTAAGGCTTTTCGCAATTGATTTGCTGTTCTGAACATTGCTATTTCTCCAGGGAGGATTCTCTCGTGATTACATTTCGTCCCCGAGCTCGACAGCTTTTCCAGTATCGTCATTACAGGTATTGCTCATGTTCACTTAAGATACTTCAAAGGAATTTGATGACAATTTTTTGCATATTTTGTATACATCTGAGAATCAGTACCATAATACAAGCTTTGTCCTCATCTTACATTGCTGAACTTTAATTGCCATAATTGCTTTGCTATTTGGATTCCAAACTGTTTTCATCATTCAGTTAGCGAAACCGCAATAAGAGTACATTAATGTAACGACGTGGATTGCTTTTCAATAAAATGATCTCATGATTCTCAAGTTTATAAGTTTCCTTAAAGTGATTCCCAGGATCTAATACCTATCAACATATTTGTTTATTTTGCTATGGTTTTTATTGCAGCCTTTGTTGATTATAAAATACCTTACAGTTTTATTTTATTTTTTATTTTTTAATTACACTGTAGTTTTTAATTATTGATATATTTGTGTTTCTTGCTTACACCTTACAAAATGATCTCTTTTGCTGACCAGTGAGCAACAGCCTTTACGATTAAACCCTGCTGAGGTACAAGAAGTTATTGCAGCGGTTTGCTCTGAGGCTTCTTCCCCAGGCACCAATGTCATGACAGTGTCAACTAGACTAGGCAATAACAGTGGAAAACCATCGACAGATGTGGCTGTTAGCGTCCTTATTAAACTAGTTATTGACATGTATGTTTCAATCAATTGTTGTCTTCTTTGTTTCATTCGTTTTATTTATCCTGTGGCCAGAGGAGTGGCCAATATCAACAATTGTGAAAAATGGTGTGGGACCTCTGCTTATTTAAAAAAGAAATTAGTCAAGCAAATATTTCAGATTGGTTAATATTTTTATTGAACCACAAATGGGGAGAAGAAAATTAGTCATGGAACTTAACATGTTTTGATGCCTCTCTCTCTCTAACATGTTTTGATGCCTCTCTCTCTCTCTAAATTGAATCTAATCCAAGAGTAAGTTTTTTTAACTTACTCCAAATCATAGTTTTTGAATTGAATCTAATCTAATGGTTAATTAAGTAAAATGCTAATTTAACCATTAGATTAGATTCAATTCAAAGACTATGATTTGGAGTAAGTTAAAAAAACATACTCTTGGAGTAAGTTGATCTCCAAGACACACACACCCACACACATGTGGGAATAATTTGTTGACTGGTAATTTGCTAATGTCCATTTAATTGTATTTTGGGTCACAAGATTATTTATTGTTAACATAATGTATATGAAAGCAATACTTAGATATCATTATAATATTTCAAAATGGATACGACCATATTGAAATTTTTTATGTCAGGGGTATATCATGTTGAATGTTGGATCCCTTCCCCACAGATTAACTTTAAATCATTTTACTTGATTGAATTTTTCTGATTATTTCACATATCTATGGTTGTTGTTCTGTAGGTATGTTTTAGATTCTCAGACAGCTGCTCCTCTCATTCTTTCTATGCTTGAGGTGATACATTAATAAATAATTTATATATTTTTTTGTTACTAAATGCATTTGTTTAATTTTTACTAATTTATATTTCAACTGTTACTTTCAGGAGATTCTTAGTTCTTCTGAAACAGGTTGCAGGATTAGGGCTTTCGATTTGATTCTAAATCTAGGGGTTCATTCTCATCTCCTAGAACCTATGATTGTTGACGAAGCTTCCATAATTGAAGAAGAATATTCTCAAGAGTCCTACTATGACAGCCACACTCAAATTATGATGCAAGGAAGCAGAAAAGGAAGTTCTCAGAATAAATCAGACACAGTTTCTGCGATTGATAATTTTGAGCCGTGGATTATAAATATTCTGTATGAGATACTGCTTCTACTTGTTCAGGTATCATTGAGCAGAAAAAGAAATTGTTGGACAAGATTATCACTGTTTTTTGTAAATATTTTTCTTGGGTGGGATCATCTGATTGACACATGTCAATATTTTGATTTCCATTCCCCAACATATTGATACATGTTATACATGATATGATGCTTTGTCATTTGAAATGAGGCATGTATGCCTTCATTTTATTTTCTAATGACAATTGTTTGAGAATAAGGATACAAGACAAGATTCCAGTTTCATATCTCGTACTTCTTTCAAAATTTCAAGACGAACTCTGCTTAATTGTATTAAGAAAAACTTTTATCATCTGTTTCACAAGGAGATTTTCAAGAAACTTATGTTTTTTCGTTGTTTCAAAATTTTCTTAGATAACGGTTCATTTGCGTTGTTTTCTCAATTTCTTACACTTATATGGCAATCAATTCCTTTGTTCAGACTGAAGAAAAGGAGGAATCTGTTTGGGCATCTGCACTCAGCTGCTTGCTTTATTTTGTCTGCGATCGAGGAAAGATCAGGAGAAATCGCTTACAAGGACTCGACATAAGGGTGAGAAAAAATATCCCTCTCCTATTTTTCACTCTACGAGTTTCCACGGACATCTTATTACTTGTTTTGTCATACTGCATTCTGCAGGGTAGTTTTTTTGCTTCACTTTTTGTAATATTGGACAGAGGGTCTGGATGAAAAGAAGGGATGCTTAATGATTAGTGAATATGGAGAGTTCCCTTTTTTGGTCTTGTTAGAAAGTAAGACTTACATTTAAGAAAATGAAAGCATGAGGACATGAGATAATTTGTTGAGGATGTGAGATAATTTGTTGAACAAGATAACTAAAAGAATCAGAGTCAACATTGTTCCTCTTACTACTAGAAAAAATATGTAAGAGTCTATATATTCTGTTTTAAATACAAAAAGTAAACCTTTTTCAACTGATACTCTACTGGAACTTTTTGAACTGTTGGTATTTGGACCTCCTCCATGCTTATACAAACGCTGCTGTTGGTTTATAAAACCCCTCTAAAGGCTTCCGGATAATACACATGTAACTCTTAAATATTAGGCTACTGCACTAGTAGCTATCGCTTCAGTTACAACAATTACTGTTCCTGTATAAATACTGTGTAACAGACTTGAGTGACTTCTGATTTTTTTGAATACCGATACAGCTGTGTACACTTTTAGTCAATGATTTCTGATTTTATCTCTTCTAATTTCATATATTTTTAAATACGGTTTGTTTTCCAGTCTTTGACAGAAGACTATAATTTAAGTTGTGTGGTTTTATGCATTTCAGCCATGAAAAAGTTCTTACTCCGGAAGTTTGTGAATCCTGCTCTTCTTTGTCTTGGGTTTTTAATAAGTCATTCGATCACTGTTTTTTTAAATTATCAGTGTGCCTTGTGTCATTAATTATGATATCTTCCTATAACTTAGTTACTCCCAATTTTCCTTTAGGTTCTGAAAGAACTTATAAGAATCAGCAGGGAGAACTCCTGGGCAGAATTAGTTCATTGCAAGCTGATTTCCATGTTAACCAACATGTTTTACGAAGTTCTTGATGAAGTTACAGAGTCTGTTCCTAGAAAACCGAAGTTTCTTGTGGATCAACTTGATCTTATTGGAGTTCAATTTATTTTCATTGAGGTATGTCTTTATTTTAACTCAATGTTTTTTCTTAAAAAAAAAAACTCTCAATATACTTCCAAATTCCAATAGAGTTCATTATTACAAAAATGTACGATATCACTGTTATACCTTTAATAGCAAATACTTGTAATATTGCATTGTATGGGACTGATGTTTTTGGACTTGATGCTTATCATATATGACTAGATTATTTATACTGTTATGCTCTTTAATTAGGAGATTTTAAAGCTCTCCTTAATCTTTTCATGACTGCCACGCTTGCTTGATGTGCCCAACATATATTTTTCATATAATTTAATGATAGATTCTAGCTTCTTATTTCTTTTTTTGCATAATAGTATAATTGTAGATAAAATCCTGAGCTAGCATCCTCACCCGATGTGCTGAGTTTTCAATTGTATGATTTCCCCCATTTTTTTCTATGTTGCTGCAGTATTCCCTTGCAAACTCAAGAGAAGAAAGGAAAAATCTGTATTCAGTGCTTTTTGATTACATTCTGCATCAAGTAAATGAAACATGTATAGCTACAGGTGTAAATGAATACAGTGATGATGAGATCCAACCTCTTGCTTCTCTACTTGCTCAAGCAAATGCGCCTGAGGCATTTTATATTTCTGTCAAACTTGGCGTAGAATGCATTGGGGAGATTTTGAGAAGATCAATTGAATCTACTTTGTCCAGATATCCTAACAGTGAACGACTAAATGTGGTATGTCTCCAATATTATTTTCTTGTCTATTGACCCCTGCCCTCTTCTCTCCTTTGATGAATGTTTATTACCTTAGTTGGTGGGGGCATATATAAGAGGGCATTCAAGTGGTTTCTTAAATATCAAAAACTCGAGTAATAGGTTTCTTTGTAAAATATAGTAAAAAAAAATCTCAACATGTTTTTTTTGGTTTGTAAAGGACATTTAACCATTTGGACACTGGAGAAGATATGCAGAAGAGTTCATCTAGCATTTTATTTATGGTTAAATGTATAGCCTTATGTAATTCCTTCAGGAAACTTGATGTGCAAAAATTCATCTGGTATTTTTTAAGGTTATGTATAGTCTTATGCAATACCTTCAGCAAACTGAAAGGCTTACTATGGAAACAGTTTATGAAACGGAATTTGTACTTCAAATGCTATTATCAACAACGTTTTTTAAGTTGTATGGATTATGCTTGATCTATGATGCAATAATCAGAACTCTTCAGTAATTTGCCATTCATGCTATTAATATTAAAGACTTGTCTTTCATAATTATCTGTATTTCAAAGAATTAGCGGCCTTTTGAGGTAATTGTAAACTATTGTATAGAGTCTTTAAATAAATGTTTTTTTTGAAGTTAGATAGTTTTTTCTTGCAACCGAAATTGAAAATCTTTGAAGTTAGATAGTTTTTTTTGTAACCAAAATTGATAATCTTTTTTTTATTCTCCCATTCTGCATTTGTATATCTGGGTCCTTCAATGGTTTGCTAGTGTAGATAACTGATTAGAAATAGGAAGTGCAGCCAGGCAATCAAATGCTTTTACTGAGATCCACCTGCATCTACCATAATGTTTTCTCTAATTCACTTGAATAATGTTAGGATGAATGCTGCTTTTCTTCGGTTTGAATATTGGCTTATTTTCCATTAATTTTACCCCCTCCCATTGTATAAAAATCAGGAAGTTGTTGTGATAGACTTTCAATTTGAGATATATTTTCTTGTTTTTGTGGCTTAAATTAAGTCATTTTGAACTTTGCATTCATTTGTACCTTGCGTGTTTCTTTTAAATCTTTGCAGCTTCTGGAAACTGTTGCAGAGAAGTTTGACACCGTAATAAGTTCATTCACTCATCTGGACAAGGAATTCTCTCTTATGATTCAGATCACTAAATCTCACAAGTTTTTTGAAAATATGGATAATGCATCTCTGCAAAATGGCATTAAGTTGCAAGCAAAGCATTCATGGGTCACTTTACATTCGCTTCTTCATTCTGAAAGAATTTCGTACCGTCAAAATGGGTATATATGGTTAGGGGATCTGCTTATTGCTGAAATTAGTGAGGAGAGAGATGGAAATATATGGTCGAGTATCAGATACTTCCAGCAGGAAATTGCTCAAGCAGGAACTCAGGATTTTTTGGATACATCAAATATTCCTTTGTCCATTTTACTTCTGTGTGGCCTTCTAAAGTCCAAATACAACTACATTAGATGGGGATTTTTGTTTGTTCTTGAAAGACTTCTTATGAGGTTCAAATTTTTTCTAGATGAGCATGAAATGCAGCTATCAAACAGCAAAACTCTGGAGCATGGCAAGAAAGATTGGCATCTTGAGAAAGCCAATGCAGTCATCGACATAATGAGCAGTGCTTTGTCTTTGGTGTTTCAGATAAATGAAACAGACCATATCAATATTCTGAAGGTAATCGTTTCTGAATCCAAAATGCCTTTTTGCTAAATATCCTCAGAACATTATATGCGTAGAAAAAATTGGAAAAAATCAGTAATTATTCCAAAATTCAGCAATTAAATATGCATGCTTTTTATCTTATCATTGAAAGAGAGAAACACCACAGTTTGCCAATTGAGTTTGTTAGAGGAACTGTTAGAAATTTTTGGTCTTCATGATAGAGCATGGTCTTTTATGAGGTGTAATAAAATGAGTTTACTTCTCAATTGCAGGTGTATGTTATCATAAAATGAAATTATGTTCTAGAAAATCTAAACATAAATGAAATGTTTCTTTTGTTATAAATGAAATCTTACTTCAGAATTATCGATGTAAAGTCAAATCCTTGGAGGAATGTTTAGAGAATGTTCTATTTTGGTTTACATTTAGGATGTTGGTTTAAATGTTGTTTGTCATATTTCTTACCTGTTTTGCTCAACACCTTTTCTATTTCTAAACAGATGTGTGACATACTATTCTCTCAATTGTGCTTAAGAATTCCTCCTGCTACCGCTCCACCCTTTGGTGATGATGTGCAGCAAGATAGAAATATAAATCTCACTAGTGTAAGCAAAAAATATGACATTGATAATCATGTTCCCAAACAAGATACCTTCCTCTGGGATGAACACAAGGAAGAATCTAATAGAAGACCTGGCTACCCTAATAACTACCTTCCAGATCACGAGACGGCATCAATGGCAGCTCTTCTCCAAGGACGAGCTATTGTCCCCATGCAGTTAATTGCACGTGTTCCTGCTGCCTTACTATATTGGCCGCTCATTCAATTAGCAGGCGCAGCAACTGATGATATTGCTTTAGGAGTTGCCGTTGGAAGTAAAGGAAGAGGAAATCTGCCTGGTGCCACATCAGATATTCGGGCTATACTTATCTTGCTTCTTATTGGTAAATGCTCAGCAGATCCTGTTGTTTTCCAGGAAGTAGGCCAGGAACAATTTTTCAGGTGATCCAATTTTTTTCTATTTTTTTGTAAATTTGGCTCCCTTCATATTTGTCACTTTTATACATTGAAATGTAAATTTAAAACATGAGTTTTCTTGCATCTGGCAGGGAACTTTTGGACGACACAGATTCAAGAGTGGCATATTATTCATCTGCTTTTCTTCTGAAGGCATGAATTTTAATTGATTTTTGGTGTTGAATGTATTGGGGCCTTAAATATCATATCTTTTTAATGTTGCAATAATTTTCCGTTGCAGCGAATGATGACGGAGAAGCCAGAGAAATATCAACACATGCTTCAGAATCTTGTTGTTAAAGCTCAACAGGTACTTTTGTTTTTATTGATTTGCTTGAAGCTTCTATTAAAGTAAAGCCCATTAATATTTTAATTTTGCATTGAAATAACCCTTCACATTCAAATTATTTCTTTTATACCACTTATGTGATCAATGTGGCTTCTTGAGAAGATTTCCAATTGCAGTTTTCAAGATCATAGGCTAATTTCTACGTCTTCAAAACTCGAACATGTGGCCTTATTAGCAAGACAAGTCTTAGTGCCAAAATTTCCCTTCTCTTCAGTTTATTTCAATGTGTTATCGAAATGAAAACAATTACTTGTTCTGTTAAATCTCTAGATGTTTGTTCCCTTTGCAATTTTCTTAGCATTCCCTTTTTTTTGTTGTGATTTAATATTAAATTATTACCAATATGATTATGCTTTGCAATGCAGAGTAACAATGAAAAACTGTTGGAAAATCCATACCTTCAAATGCGTGGCATAATTCAGCTGGCAAATGATCTTGGATTTGACTTGTGATCTTCATTTCATGACTTTCTGGAGGGATATATTGTTTGGAGTTGGAGATCTGTGTTGGTTTAAGAAGTTTCACCATTGGTTCTCATGAAGATCTTTCATCATTCAATTGGCTTAGATTTTGAAACACTTATATCCACGACATGTTTTCTTCTATAAACAGATTTATTTTTTAACATGGCCAATGAGGGTATATAAATTTGGCCAGAGAATGAGTGTGGCCATAGAATGAGAGCCAATGGAGTTGGGCTGCGCATAATATTGAGCGATTTTTCTGAGAAGTATTTAACAGAACTCAACCTGTTGCATGCCCTCAACACCTGTTGATCTCTTCAGTGATATTACTTTTTTGGAGAGCCATGTTTTATCTGCCATCACTCCTTCATCTTCCCCCATGTATGTGAACAGCAACTGAGAAGGCAGAGTTCTGTTAAGGATAATTTTGAATGCACCTGATTTTGACCCAGCTACTGATTGTTGCTGAGCTAGGCCTGCCTTCAGGTACATCTTTCTCTTTTTTATCTTGCTTTGTCGAGGACCCATTTATAATTGATAGGGGCTTTTGCAAGCAAGCCTGTTCATAAATAGTTACAAACTAACTAGAATTAAAAAAATGCATTTTCTTGGAAAAATCCAGTCTTGAGATGGCATGGTTTGTAACAGCCCTTTGTAGTCGTTAATAGGCATGCTAAACTTTGTGATAGGCCTTTCTGCACCTATGATACTCATGTCTTTCAGAAGGAAAAAAAAAAGATTTATACATTCCAGTTTTAAAACCTGAATCAGATCAGCCGATTCAACTGGAACTGGCCAGTTTGCCAGTTCGTTTTATTCATTTCTTTGTAATCTGGTTGAACTGGGGGTTCAATCAAGTTTGGTTCAACTGGTTTTCATTTTACATTCTTTACTTTTTAATACTTGTTCACTTATTTATTTATTTATTTATTTATTTATTTGTCATTTGGCTCAAGGTTGAACTAACTAAAGCATGACCCATACGTCTCGCGGGTTCAATCTTCGGTCTGATTATTAAAACATCCACACATCCAACTGATTATTAAAACATCCACACATCCAACTGATTATTAAAACATCCACACATCCATCGCTTATTTGATTTTACTTGGTAGGAATAGTTTTTTATGACATTTAATTACGTGATCAATTTGCGTGCTTGCAGTTGCTGGCTGGCGGGTATTGATTTCAAATGAAATTATGTGCAGAAGAACTATATAAGATTCTTTCTTTTGTACAGGATTAGATTCCCACAAGGCCTTCAAATTTTTTCATTTATGAAGGCTGCCTCTATGCTTGTTTTTTTACTAGGCATACAGGACCTGTTGCGGGAAAAGATAGAACTCAGTTTTGTAAGTTGTCAATATATAATATATCACAGGTCACAAGGAGATCGATCCTTTAATAAGGGGTATCTTGGGATGTCTACTTTTAGATGCATCCCTTGCTGCTCTCCTTGTTCTCTGTAAATGTGTGATTTAATGTTTTTCTTTTCCTTTATGATCCAATTCCCTTTTTGCCAAAATTGTAACATGTAGTGAGAAGTTACTGTGTACATTATCTATTCATAATTTTATTCTAGGAATGGATGTGTGTAACAATTTTCTTGATAAAAACCACCGCGTATTCTCTTTTCTTCTATTAAGATATACAAACAATGCAGGAACATAGTTAGAAACTGATCTTTTGCACAAGTTTATGGCTAATGCCTGACCAGTTCTTACAGGTTGTGATCGTGATGTACTCCAGTCCATCAAAATAAAGGGGATATCGTACAATTTTTTTCTTAATTAAACAATTTTAAGGCGCTGTTGACGTCCATCCAAGTAGGATATCTAGAGAGAAACCATTTTGTGATGGAGTGATGGCATATAAAACACGGCCCAACAAAATCATTCACTTTGATTACAACAAATTCAATTCCCAGTTTCAATGAAAACAACACCTTTTAGAAGAACTCATAATTAGCATGAAACAAGTTCAAACCAAAATGACGATGTTTAATAACATGTACGTGTCACAAGTTGAGATCTCAATGAAGACACTGACTCATTAGAACAATTCTGTCGAATTTTGTTACTATATGAAGGATATGAAAAATAATATTCTGACTTTATCATAAAGAGTATTTTGATGCGTGTAAGAGGGGATGGTCTCAAAAACGTAAATATGGGATAAATCTATCCTGAAGTTTTTGTTGACTTTTGATTTTGTTATAGAACGTATTTAGAAAGAGGTGGGCATCTTACATGTAAGAAAATTTTCGTTACTTATGATTTTGTTATAGCTAATATGTGTGTAGAAAAGAGATGGGCATCTTTTGTTATAGCTAATGTGTGTAGAAAAGAGATGGGCATCTTTTGTTATAGCTAATGTGTGTAATGTGTGTAGAAAAGAGATGGGCATCTTACATGTAAGAGTGGGTGACATGTTCTAAATAATTTATTTTTAAGGAAGTTAGATACCTAATATAGAGTATTGGTGATATACTTAAGAGTTGAGATGAGAGCGAAAAGAGGAATCTGCCACCTCCACTTATATTTGACGGTCTCTATTTTTTGAAATTCCATTTTTGCCTCTATTTTTTTTTGAAAATTATAAAATGGATATTGAAAATTATGGCTATATCAGAAATTTTTAAAATTTTACTGCAGTGAAACGATCATGTGAGACACATAATGGAACTTTTGAAAATTTCAATATTGACTACTAAAAATTTCAAATTTTTAAAATTTTACTGCAGTGAAATGATCATGTGAGACACATAATGGAACTTTTGAAAATTTCAATATTGACTACTAAAAATTTCAAACTTTTCAATAAAGTTATATCGGAAAAATGATAATTATGTAAAGTGAGCAAAACTACCGGAAATTTCAGACATTCTAAATTTTCGGTATACAACCAGAATTTCTAGAATATGAATAACTTCAATGTTTTTGACACATTGAACCGAATAAATGGTTTCACATATAATAAATACATAATGTCCATAAGATTACATGGTAAATTAAGATGACTTCTTAAGTTCTTCCTCCCAAAGCCTAATTTGTCCTGCATATGCTGATTCTCATGCTTTTGCATTTTTAGTACAATTTTGTCTCTAACGATCAGTGATGGGAGGCAACAGACTATCAGGTTTTAATTTTACCTGAACCCAATGATTGTTGTTCACAAAATCAACAACAATGATTGTATACTTGCTCGTATACATAGGTGGAGTTATGGTAAGAGAGAAAATGTAATGTTAAGTCTTTGTGACAGGGAGACAAATACGACACTGTACCTACTCGCAATAGGGTAACTCATATCAGGAATCGACATCCATTTTTCTCTATCCTGCACACCCAAGTGTTCTACTTTTAAGAAATTCTTAACTTCAGAGACCGTGTCATAGAATAAATTGAAAAACAATTTTGGGTGTTGATGAACTTGAGTATCTAACTGCGTTTGAATTTATGACCATGACTCTTCGCCCTATCAAAGTAAACTGCAATAGTCTGAAAATCACAGTTTCCATCGTCACCCGCATCAATAATGTCATCAATGTATGGTTGCAAGAAACCAGAAAACTGAGACAAGTAAAGATGCCTTGAAGATACAGTGGACAATTGACTTTTATTTGGCATACTTGAAGGTTGACTTTGACTCGACATACTAGAAGGTTGACTTCCTGTTGGTTTCGTTCATGATCTCTTTGTAGTCTGACTCCCCTACGAGCCCTCACCGTGCTCCCACTGTGGGGATCATGTTGCACATCACTCTCTTCACCCTTTCTGCTATTCTTAGCTCCCCTCTTTGGCTTGCACTTCATCGGCGGTGGACACATAAGTTGTGGCTGGATGTGTTAGTTCCCAAATTTTTTTCTTCACACCCTCTGGCCTACAATATCCAAAGAATTGAAATATGTCTTCATCTCTTCACACTCTACTTCTAAATCCAGTTTTGTGCCACTATCATCATGACCGCTAGCATGCTCTTGAATGTGTAATTTCTTCCAAAAAAACATGAATTGGTTTTAAAGGAACATACAAGCCTTGCATTTCGAAACAAACAAGTTGGCACGTACAAGGTAACCCATGTGTAGTTCTAATGAAGCAACCACAAATGTCCTTACTTGTACCAACAAATTTTACCCTTTCTGGCTCTTTCCCTTTGAGCTGTATACACTGCCTTGAAACAAAACCATGCAAGTTGGCATAAAATGGAGTGTTGTACCGATACTCAATATTGACAATACTTTTTTGAAATGACATTCTGATTAAACCTAGTTGCACCTTCAGCATGGTGTTCACAGCATCCCAACTTCGGCATAAATCTCCCAGGCTTGTAGTCAGCATGTTTTT